GGGCACTGAAATCATGTCTACTGCAAGAACACTAATTTATGTTTGGCTTTTGAAGCATCTCCCCAGCCCCCTGCATTTATTTATATGTTACATTATTTGATACTTGCTTATTTTTCCTCAAATAACTTGTATTTTCTTTTTATTATATTTAAGATCCCTTTGTGAATATAGATCTAAAGCAATTTTTATTGGTGCATAGTATTCCAGTAAATACTTAGCCATATTTTAGTTAGCTAATCTTCTACTGACAAGTATGCACTGTTATTTTAATTAATTCCTGCCATTAACACATGTGATGGCAAGCCTACACTTTCTGATTGTTTTTTAAGATAACATAACTCAAACTGTTGTGTCAATGAAGGCATATTTTTAAGGATTTTAAGATTTTCCCTAAGAAAGAAAGATTATTACTGTCTATTATTACTGTCTAAACTGCCAAAACATCCTTTATATATTAGAAATTAACAAGATTTATAAGCAAAAGAATATTGTCTGTACAGTGTTAGTTACAGTGTTACTCACTTGCAGAGTTTGTAATGTCTTCCTGATTCCAGCTTTTTATGCTGAGCCTTTTGTCAGTAATTACAAATTTTATTATTTAAATCTGACTTACAGTATATTTCTCTCATAAAAGCTTGTAATGTATATAGTGTTAGAATCTTTGATAGTACTTATGTATTTGCTTAATTTCTTAATTATGTATTTGCTTCTGAACTCCTTTCAGTTTTGAGAAAGTCTGTCTCTCTACAGGATTTTAAACAGTATATATATATTTTTGATACCCTGAAGGATCTTTTGCACAGAGAAGACTGTGCAAAAGGTATAGAGAGGGGTTTCTGGTATGTTTGAAGACCAGCCAGGAATGCAATGGTTGGGGAAGGGAGAGTGAGGAGGAGGCTGTGGGAGGTTGGAGAAGGGTGGGTGTGCAGATGTGCTAAGGCTGGAAGACTGGCCCGGTCCCTGCACTGAAGCCTTCTTGCTGGCCACACGAAGGTTACTGTGCCATAGTGGGAAGCTCGGGTTTAGAAGCTCACTAGCTCCTGGTTTTTAAAAAGCTAAAGCTTCCTGGGTGCGGTATATACACATTTAATCTCAGCACTGCGAAGGCAGAGGCAGGTAGAGCTCTATAACTTTGAGGCCAGCATGGTCTACATAGGGAGATCCTGGCCAGTCAAGGTTACATAATGAGACCTTATCTCTGAAATCAAAGCTAAGGCCTTAATATCTGCTGTCAACTTGCTCAGTGGTGCAGCCTAGTGTCTGGAGTGTCTTCTGTTGTGGTTGGGAGAGCCCTCTGCCTTTTCCTTAGTCCTTGTATGATATTAGCCACGTGAAGTCTGCATGTTTCCCTTGTATCTCTTGTGTGAAGTTGCCTCTTTTGCTTTCGGCAGATCATCTGACAGGCAAAGAGCAGCTTGCTGGAGGCTGAGCTGGCTTTGACAGCATCAGTTACACAGAGTGTTGTAGACTGACCAAATGCAGATATATAACAAGCTCTGGTCACTTTCAGTTTCTAAGTATCTGAAGGCATGCAGACAGCAAGGAAGTAAAGAGCCATGCATACCTAGTCACCAGATAAGTCAGCTCAGTATCCAAGAGGAATGAACAGGAAAAGAAAAACTTTTATTACTGAGAGAAACAGAGTTAGCAAGGGAAATGGCACTGCTGTAAGCTAAATTTTGCCAAAAGGTGACGTTTTCTGACAAAGGTTTGCCATTTGAGTCTAGAATGAAATATTAAGGCTTTATACAAATATTTTCATTTTCAGTCAGGAAACAAACAGAGGTGAGACAGAGAAATTTGTGTTCCTGCTATTAGGAATTTCCTAACCCCTTTCTTTGTATTGCATGCTGTCTCTTGAGATTGTGAGCAATTTAGGAGACAGGGTCAATAATTTCTTTAGTTTCTGTTTACTGTAAACTAAATGGCGCAAACTGCCATAGGCATATTAGTGTCTCAGTTCAAACTTGGTATGTTTGGACATCATTTCTCAGCAGCACAGTCTGTAGTTTTATAGTATTCTCCCATCAGGTCCCTCCTTGGCTGTTACCTTGTAACAAAGCAGAGGTGAGGAGTCTGCACGGCTGTAACTCTGTGAATAGTATACTGATCCTGTCAGTAGAGTCAGGATTATATGTGGGTGGACTTTGGTTACCTTGTGGGTTCTTCTTTCTTCTACCCTTCTCCACCCTTTTTTCCCACCCTTTCAAAGCCCTAACACTAGATAAGAGAGAGAAAAGGATAGAGAGTAAAGGAAAGAGTCGCTGAATGAAGTTAGGGGTCAGAAGGGAGGTGATGTCATCATTAGACTACTTCCTGCTGATTGGAGCATTGAGTTCCTTGGGGCAAATTTGATTTCTGCTGTCAGAATATCTAATTTCTTTTTGTTTCTTTGTGCACAACTACTTAACGGATCACATCCAACAACAACTAGCCAAAAACCCACCAACATTTCACCCTATCTCTCGGGACTCTAGCATCTATACACACTCTGAAAAGTTTGCAAAATTCCCAACATCACACAATTGCAGAAACTGTCTGCAGCTGAAAAAAACCACGTCCCTACCAGAGCACAAGGCAAATCATAGCTGCTGTGGGCAATCTGAAGTAGCCCCATATCCCACACCTGGGATTAAAACAAAAAACATAATATTTCTGTATTTTTTTAAAGAAATCAAAGTTTCAAAATTGTCATTGCAGTTATATTTAAAAGAGCTACTAAAATTGTACCTATCAGTACCTGGTTTTCAAGGACAGAGACTTCTTAGCTGGCTTAAGATAACAGAGGAAGCAGAATAATTGCCAGTTCCTGGAGAGAGACCTTGAGAGCTGTTGCCCCGAAGGCAAAACTTAAACATAGAGAAGAGGCAGGCAAAGCCACGTGCGTGCCCCTTAAGTTCTATTAAAGAATGGAGGCAGGCCACCCAGCTTCAGTGTCACCTCATCTGCACCCGACCCATCAATGACCGTAGCACTGGGAGACAGCATATTGAAAGCCCATCTTCCTTTCCGCCTTCTCCTACTTTCTCTTGTGTGAGTGAGCATGGATGGGTGTGGCTGTGAATGTGTGGAGCTCAGAGGACAACTTTGTGCAGTTGCTTCTCTTCCTTCTACCTTCTGGGAATCAATGTCAGAAACAGAATGAGAAGTCAAGAATCTCGATTCTGAAGGGCATACTATTTGAAGCGCCTTAGCACATTAAACCAGAGCTTACCAGCCTGAGGCCTGCAGTCTCCATGTCCCTCACCCCAGGATACTTAATGAAAATATGAGATTCATTTGCAACTTTTTTCTTTTTTGGTAACTCACTTATACAGTTTAGAACATGATCTGTGTCTGGGATACTGTTGAGTCACAGTGTCACAAGACTGGACACTGCTAACTCATCTGCATCTGAAGCATTTGTGTGGGCAGTGGTACTGAAGTCCCTTGTATTGCCAGAATTAGTCAGAAGCAGCTTTAACGGTTCCATTTGAATGCCATGATTTAGCAAGAAGGATGTTGAGAGACCTGGATTTTAACCCCATGCTTACCCCCGATCACTTAAATATCCTTTATAAAGTCTTAAACTTGTGGACTTATTTTATTCTCTTCTGTATAATAATCATGGAGTTTATGTTCTTATGCTAAACGAATGGAGATGTTTTGATCCTTCTCTTGTCTGCCCTGTTGGCTTGTGTGTGATGTTAAAGTCTGGAAACTGCATTTCCTGATTCTGGATCACAGACATGTCTCCCTCACTGTCCTCCAGGGTTTCACGCATCACTACAGTCATGCAAATTGTACATCTCCATCTCTCTGTCTGTCTGTCTTCAAATATTCTTGATGGGAACTGCACCCAGGACCCATTGGGCAGCTGTGCTGAAATGGAAGATTGTGTTTCTATTTTACTTCAGCTATTTTTTCTAAATGCCAGTATTCCTAGGACTTACTGGCTGTAATATTTCAAAATGTCTTTGAAGCTAACCCTTTGGCTCTGGAATAGACTGCTCCCAGGCTCTTTACTGTTCAATGTCTTCTGGGATACAGATTTCACATCCTGTCTCTCACCTTGAGGAAGTTCTTATAACTAACATAAATCTTGCTTTCTGCAATTTAAGTTGAATTTATATCATTTTTCTTTTCTCTGTAGAGATGAGAACAGCCCCAAACTGTAGGTAACACATTGTTATGAGGGCCAGTACTGAACACTGCAGACAAACTGCTTCAGTTTCTCTGCCTTTCATTCTGACTTTGTCTCAGAAGCAGCTGCTTTTAAAATGCAAATGAAATAATACCCAATATCAGTGCTTATGAGATCTTTGCTGTTTAGAATAAAATGGGGCACTAAAGTTAAAAAGTTTTTGTGGGAAGAGGGAGATGTTGGTCTCTGATCCTGTCTGTGAGGACCCGTTGAGTGCCTGGCTGGGATGGATTTCACTTCCTTAGCTTTCAGCCACCTGCCAGTGCTAACATTGCTACCCACCACTGAGCCTCTGAAAATAAGAGCCTCCCTCGAGTAAATAAGTAAAATTCAAAGGTTGGGCTCTCAAAATGTATTTGGGATATTTAACCAAATTTATGTCTACTTCATGTATAGTTATGTCATAAATCTTGGCTTGGGCTGTAGATTTTATCCTGTGTTTAGTGGTCACAGGGATTGACTCCTCCTTATAAACTGTGAGACTGGAAGCCTGTTCCTTGAAGCAAGCTGTCCAGAAGTGCGTTTCAGTGTGTGTGGTCAGAGGCTGCAGTACTCAGCTAACACTTGGGCTGAGCATGTGAGGAAAAGAAACCAGCTGTGTCCATGAGGAGCCCAGATTTCACTCTGTGAGCTGTGAGGACACTGAGCTCAGGGCTGTCAGTCACTTACAGCAGTGCATGCAGGGAGTCAGTCATACAGACACAATGGCGCACAGGAAGCCAGTCATATATACACAATGGCATGCCTGTTCAATTAACTGAACCCTCAAATCTGTATTCATTTGCTTCTTTCTGATTTCTGTATTTTCCTTTTGAAGGTTCAGCAGTTTTCTGAGAAATCTTTCCTCTTGGAGCTTTTGAAAACCCATGAAAATGCATTAGAGAGACAGCGCAGTGAGATTGTCAGTGAGCGGGACACACTGCTCCAAGCCTTCGTAAGTCTCCAGCCACTGAGAAACATCTCAGTTGGTAACCTAACCATGTCAGAGGCATTTCAATGTACGCAGCTTCACTTTTGACAAAATTATCTGTATCTGTATCAGCTGACAGTACTATTCAAACACAGAGTATTAAGGGCTGTACCAGCCCAGAGAGTAATACAGCTGGGAAGAGGTGTGCTAGTCAGGATGTAACACTGGAACTATTTGCAGTTTTAATGAGCCTGAGGGAGGAATGCCACTGCTCTTAGTTACTCTGGCGTTGAGACCCAGTTTTAATGCTTACAGTTAACAGAGAAGTTTATACTTTTAGTCATATTTATGGGTGAAAAGAGCTTGTTTATCTTTTTATCTTAAGTCAGAGTCAACAAGGTGAGCAGTAGTTATGATTTCAGGCCAGTCTGGAGATGTGACTAGTCCTAAGTTGACATTTAAAGAAAATACAACTGGGCCAATGAGAGGGCTCAGTGGATAAAGGTGCCTTCCGCCAAATCTGATGACTTTCAGTCACTGCAGCCAATGGTGGAAGGAGAGAACTGACCACTGCAAGTTGTCCCCTGACCTTCACATGTGTGCCAGTGCACACTCACACCAAGACTCATCCACACAGGTGTGTGCACATATGTGTGCATGCTACACACTGCATAAATAAATGAGAAGAATTACATAAAATGTATTTAAGAATAATAAAAATACAAGTTATGACATGACCGGCTTCTAAATGTGATTCCACATAGTTGGCATACAGCCAAAAATAAAAATACAGAAACCACTGTGTCTAGTGCTGTCAGGAAATTAAATTTTTGCACCATCCAGAGATATTTTAAATTTATATTTTCATGCCCTGTGGACATTTCATTCACAACACAAAAGCTTATTTAGAACTGACTTTGAAATGATTGCATAATTTGGCTTCAGATGATCAGGTTTTTCGTTTCCCTGTAAGCAGCCATTGTTCCTTTGAGTAAAGGTTGTAATTTTTACATTTTGATGTTACTCCTCTACCTAATTGTACATTATATTGACAAAGTAGCATATATGATTATGAAGTAAATTCACAGATACAAGCATAAAGATAAATGTCAGAATTTCTACTTCATTAATTCTCTCAAATCTGTAAAGATAAAACTTCCAAATGGAGGTTGTTATGGGACAGCCTCAGTCTTTAAAAGTACATCCTTGGGCAGCATGGGCTGCTTGTGGTGATGAAGGAGATGGGGATGCCAACACTTGCTTCTGACACCAGGTTATTGTATTCTAATTGTGGAAGGATGGTACAGTCCTTGTGTGTCACATTTGGTCACTTAATTATTTCTGCTTTTCAGGAGGCTATAAAGAAAAAAGCCACAGAGGAAGAGGAAAGATTTATTACAGAAATTACAGACTTCAATGACAATTATGAAATAACCAACAAAAGAGATACTTTGATGAAAGAAAATATCAAGATGGAAATTGCTGACCTAGAAAACCAGGCAGATGTTTTGAGAGGGGGTATGAATACAGTTGCCTTATTTGTCTGTTGTTCATGAAAGTGAGGTGGTGTTTGCTTGTTTGTTTTTGAGACAGAGTCTTATGATGACACACAGACTGGCTTGGAACTTAATGTATAGCCAGAATGTGTATCCCAGGCTGGCCTCAGATTTGCTGTGATCCTCCTGTCTCAGATCTCCAAGTACTGAGGTTTACAAGCATGCACTATCAGGCCCAGTTACAATGAGTCACTTTGAATGAGAGTGTTTTCTAGAAGGTCAGCTGTGTATAAAGGTAAATTCCATCACTACATAGTTAACCCTTTCACTTAATGAATGTATACTGTCCTCATGAATATATGGTTTTGTTATGAGTAGTGTCAGTAGTAGTATCAGAAGTATATTGGGAACTGAGCCTCTGACTTTCCATCTAACGTGAATGCTTGTTGTTTGTTTACTTTGTTATGTGGCTGAGAGGCACTGCTCTAGGTCCCAGAGACATGAGATGTAAAGGTATAATAAACAAATGCACAGCCGTATGATGGAATGTGTCCTAGGGTTAGGACTACGGCTGTGAATTTTATTTTTTCATCAACTCTGTATAAAATAGGGAGTAAGGTTAGTAGGGTGGAGAGAGTGTCCTGTCAGGATTATCTGCATTTTATTGGAATCTATGATAAGATAATGAACTAAAACAATTGCCAAAGAGGGTGGGGAATGGAGGAGCCGTTTAGGAAATTGACAGGACTGTAGTATACATGGAAACAGGGACAGTCAAGACCATCTGTTCCCAGGCTCCATGGGCTCAACCCCAGCATGAGGTCTGGTTTCTCTTACTCTGATTCTGGTCCAGTAGAGACTCCTTGATTGCTACTTCCCTGTAATTCTTGAGTAATTGATAATCTGAAAAATTCACAGTAAAGCAATTACTTTCTCAGATGATCAGTGTGCTGTGATGAGACCAGAAAGACAGAAGGCCTGGTCCAAAGCGGTTCTGAAGGTTCTGAAGTGCAGTCACAGGGACATTGGCATGCCTTGTTAGGACTTGGTCACTCTCGAGTGTTAGTTCCTCCCTCTGCGTCCTTGCTTCCAGTCTGGGTCGTTCCTTTTTAGTGAAAGATGCCTTGTGCTTGCAGCGACACCTTTTTAAAGCTTGCTTCTGTTCTGTAGGAGTTTGGGCATTTAAGGGCTTCTTTGACATTTTTACCATCACTGGGCTTATGGAAATATGTTTCTCTTAAAGACTTTGTGACTCTAGATGAATCTTACAGAGGTTAATTCCACTAGGGAAAAAAGGCTGTAACCACAAATCTTTCTGAGATCAGACTTTTTGTTTTTGGCTTTTGCTGAAACACTGAGAAACAATATTCGTGTCTCCCCCCTTTATTGAAAATAGCTTCTTTTTTTTTCATATGATATATCCTGATTACAATTTCCCCTCCCTCTACACCTGGCCAGCAAGTTTGACTGAATGATTTTCTGAGGCATCATGGTAGATTTATTTCAGATCAAAGCAAAGAGTTTAAATTTTTTCGGTGTGTTTTATCTTTAGTTCGTGGTTTCCGAGCAGGGCTGTGGGTTTATCTTCACTGACAGGAGTCTGTTTTAATTCCTGAAGCAGCCAGTAAGGAAGTGCAAAGGTGCAGTGCTAGAGCAGCACACAAATCACAGGCACTCTCAGATACTCATGATTAGCCAGAGTGAGACGTGGAGGAGACTGTTCCTCTGTATTCCCAATGAACTGTAAGTGTTAGTGAGCTACTCACTGTAGCTACAGACAGAGCGGATGGAGGAGGCTGAAGAGATGGCCCAGCGGGGCAGGGCATGCATCATTCTTGATAAACCCCTGAGGTCTGTTCCCAGCACCCATATCAGGCAAATCACAGCTGCCTGTATGTTCAGCTCTATGAGATCTGAAATGCCTCTGACCTGCTTGAACACATATGCACGTGCAAACACACACACACACACACACACACGTATACATACATAATTAACAAGTATTTTAAAAAGTTAATAAATAAAATAATTTGTGTATACAATAACCTTAATAAGCTGTTATATTGTTATCATATAATTTAATAAAGAGACGTCACTGAAGTTAAAAGGAGAATTTTATATTGAAAAGGTTAGTTTCTGGTCAGTTAAGAATACTGAAATAATACACAGTGTATTTTCTCAACATAAGTTAATAACTAAACAATTAACAAGCATAAAAAGTATCCAGCAAAATCTAAACATTTGAAAATTAAATGGGATATGTGTAAATAACTCATTGACTAAAGGGGAAATAAAAGAGAATTAATTGAGTTATAAATTTAACATACTAAAATTTTATAGTTCAGGCATGTTTTTGGAGGTTTGTAAGTAACTCTAATGCTTATATTAATTTAAATAAAAGAATATCTGATATTCTTTTATATGATAAAGATCCCAAAAAGAAATGCAAATAAACTTACGTGAAGGAAGAAACATGAATTTCATATCAATTACAGGTTTTCATATCTATTATTCTGTATAAATTTTCTTAGGTAAAAGTTATGTTTTGTAAAGTTATAAAGCATCTTGTATTTTAACTTGAGTTGCACTAAGTTTATTAGTGAACTTAGGGAGAATTACTATCTCCTAATCTTGGGTCTTCCTATTATAAAAGTAACAATGGGAAGCAAGATGGCTCAGTAGCATAAGGGCTTGCAGCTAAACCCAAGGACCTGACTTTGATCTTATGGTGGAAGTAAAGAAACAACTCTTACAAGTTGTCTTCTCACCACTACATGCATGATGTAGCATGTGTGCACCTGCACACACACGCACATACAATGTAAAAAGTGTTTCAGTTGTCTTGACTTTTCTTGTTACTGTTTCCTTAAGTATCAGTATATTTTAAGTGGGTTTCCCGTTTGAGTTTTCTTGTGATCATTGCCTGTATACAGGTAAAGTGCCTTCTTCTACATTCAGATCCTAACACAAGTGGACCTGATTTTGTTGTTTCCAGTGTATAACTGTGTCTGCCTAAGGATAACTCTCTTGGTTTTCAATAATCATTCCGTCTTTAACCTGTGGTTTTACTGTGGGGTGCTTTTGGAATGCTATTGCGCACTAGAATCCACATTAGATAATGTCCCTCTGTCTTCTGTAGCTTCCTTATGCGTCACAATGTCAGACTGCAGGGGTTGCTTTCTCCCTCTCCTTCCTGCACCCTTCCCAGTCACCTTCCTCTTCTTAAATGACCATGTGTTTTCTTCTCAAATTTATTAGAGTAACGAATTTTATTAACATCCTGTTCTTAACCTTACTATGCTCTTGTAGTTTTCTAATATGTCACTCGATTCTTTTTGGCATTATTTTATTTAAAATGTTAGTGAGGTTAATGTAGATGTTACTCTAAACACTATACTGATTTCACCAAAAATTATGGACAGTACTTTCTCCAGTTACTGTTTCTTTATCAGTATATTTTAAGTGGGTTTCCCCATTGAGTTTTGTGATGATCATTGCCTGTCTACAGGTAAAGTGCCTTCTTCTACATTCAGATTTCCTAACACAAATGAACCTGATTTTGTTGTTCTCTGGCCTCAATTCACATACACATATACATGGACACACTTATATACATGTGCACACATGCAAAAAAAAAACCAGTAATTAACCAAGAAAGATATCTGGGACAGAAAGGAGACACTTGAGTAGAAGGATATAAAAATAACAGCCATGAAGAGTAGAAAGGGGGATTGTTCAGAATGCAGTGCACTTCTCTGTCTCATCTTTGTTACAGGATAAAAGGAAGATAAAAACAGGAAGCCAAGGGTGGACGAGTATGGGGATGCACGTGTCAGGGGATAACAAATGTGGTGGCACAGATTAAAAGCAGGAATGGAAGAGTAAACCCTGACAAGCACAAAGACAAATGAAAGCGACCGCACTGCACTGTCCCGGTAACTCTGCTGTCTGCTCAAAGCTAAACCGTTCCCTTCTCTACTTCCACTGCCACATACACATTCCCTAAAATATCTTAGTGCTTGAGTCTGTTCACAACGTGCAGGAACATAGCCACCTGGGATTGCAGTTCCAGGATCCAACACCTTCAGCGTCTGAAGGCACGTGTGCCTACACATGATGCACACACACACACACACACACACACACACACACACACGATAGATAAGTAGGTAGATAGGTAGATACATGGATTGCCGGACACAAATCATGCTGACAGCTGTTAAGAGCATTCCTAAGTAAAATCCCAAACAGGGTGAGATAGAGTGAGCAGGAGAGAGCAGCTGGAGTCTAGAGGAGAGAGGTTGTACTCAGGTAAGGTTCATAGCAAGCGTCAGCAGTGCTCAGCATCTGGTTCTCTTCTGAACATTGAAGATCCACAGGTTAGAGGAGGGGTCTTAGGCCAGCATTTGGGATCTGAGTAACTAGGAATGTGGAATACTTGGTCATATGCACACACACACACACACACGCATACACACACATAGTTTGTGAATCAGCAAGTTTATCTACTGTAAACTTTTGGTAACTCACAGATTGACGGCTCACCATTTGGCTTCAGAACAATCACTTCCATGATGTCATAACATTTGCTCAGAGTATTTCCTGTGTTCACTTCTTTTTTTTTTTTTTTTTTTGGTTTTTCGAGACAGGGTTTCTCTGTATAGCCCTGGCTGTCCTGGAACTCACTCTGTAGACCAGGCTGGCCTTGAACTCAGAAATCCACCTGCCTCTGCCTCCCAAGTGCTGGGATTAAAGGCGTGCGCCACCATCGCCCGGCTCTGTGTTCACTTCTCTTAAGTCATGAACCAGTTTTTTTTATATAGGAAATAAGATAATATTATAATTTGATACTGCATAAAAATTAATCCATTGTTGATTAGTCTATTAATGATTTGCAGTGAATATATGGGAAACTCTGTTAAAAGATGAGAATGAATTTGCTTATATGAGTTTGATTTAATATTTATAACCATAAAACCTAGTTATTTGCCTGGTTTGGTGGCAAATTCCAGTATTCCGTAG